GCGCCGACGGCCTGGGCGTTTTCCTACCTAGACGACGCGGTCGGGTTGGTTCCCGCGGCGCTGGGCGAGGCAGCGGCCCACGCGGTGGTGGAGGAGCTCACGCGGGCAGGACTCGCCATCGACGAAAGCAAAACCGCGGCGTGGACCCGAGACCCGGCGGCGCCATTTCGCCGCTGCTCGAAGCGTTGTGGACACTCTCCGCTGCCTGAGGGCCACCGCGCCGTGGGTGGAGCCAGAAGACCCGCTGGGGCAGCTCGCTGTCCACGGGCAGGCCGACGGCGACGAGGCTGCGGCCCGGCCCCGAGCGCCCCGGGTACCGTCTCAGGTTCTGGCGCACCGCCTCCACCACGTCTGCTCGCGTCTCCGGCGACGCCAGAAGGGGGGCGGGCAGCCCCTCCAGCAGAGCGCTCTGCGGGAACAGGGCCGCGAGGGAAGCGTGCACCTCCGGGCCAACCAGCACCGCTCTCTGGCGAAGCACCACAGCCAGCGCCTTGCTTAGCAAGCCGTCCCGCACCAACGAGCTGACTGCGCGGGCGTCCTCTGCCAGAGTTGTCCCCTGGGCGTCCTCTGCCAGAGTTTTCCCCCGGGCTGCCGCGCGCAGGGCGTCTCCCGCGGACGCCGCTGCTGCTCACCAGAGACTGCCCGCAGTCCCCCTTCCAGGCAAGCCGGAGCCGCGCTGTGACCGTGGAGGACAGCGACCCCTCATTTATGGTTTCGGCCCCCCCGTGTGGCCCGCGTGGCGGCCAGCACCAACCGGTCCATGAAAGTAAGGAGTTTGCAGGGAGTTTTTTTTATATTGGGGGGGGGGTAGCGCCCGTTACGGGGGGAGGGGGGGGGTCCGGCCCCAAGTTGGGGGTAACGGTAACGCGCGGCGGGGCCCTCGCACGGGCCCTGGTACTTATTACCAGCACAACTGTCGGCACGGTAGGCTTCGTCGTCGTCGTCGTCGTCGTCGTCGTCGCCGCTGTCGTCGTCGTCGAAGCCGACCGTGCCTGTGCACACTACACAGGCTCTGTACACCGCGATGCCTTTGTACACCACAACTGCGGCAGAAATGGTATGTGTGTGCACCACGGCGACTGAGCACATCATGACAGGCGGGTGCACCACAGCGCCCTTGTACATCTCACTGTTGGTGCACACCACGGCGCCCGCGTGCACCACAGCTGCTGTTTCAACGCCCCGTGTTTGCACCAGAATGCCAGCGTACACAACAAAGCTTGTGTACACCTGTAAGGTACCAGCGGAGCGAAAGTCCAGAAGATCGCTCGGGGCCCAACCGTGGCCCTTTCATTATGTGAGCTGCTTGTGGATCTTAGTTTTTCTGGTTCAAAAAGCGCTCGGACCTGTTGAGCCCACAGCGCCTGTGTACTCCATTGCGACTGTGTACATCATGGGAGTGTGAACCGTGGCGCCTGTGTATACCACATGGCATGCGTGCACCACAAAGCTTGTGTACGGCTTTTTTTGTGCGGAATGTGAACCACGCACACATGTGAGAGTCACAGCATGCCTGCCTGGACGGAGGGGGGGTCCGCACCCCCGTCCCCGTACGCTCGTTACCGTTACAGGGGGGGGGGGACCCCCCCCCCGTAACGGGCTTTACGGGTCCGAGCAATAAAAAAACAAGCTCAGGCTCTGCTCTCCGCCGCGGCGTCGCCCGCCTCCCGAGCGCGGCGCATCTCCCGGCACGCCGCCCCCCGGAAAATCGCCGAGCCGTGTCGCGCGTTGTGGGGTGTGCACCCCAGAGTAGGGGCCCAATTCTCCAGCTCATCGTACTCCACCGTGCCCCATCAAGCCATGTTCCGGAGCTCCTCTGCCCTGCACCCGGTGTCGCGGTTCTCTGGGTTCTGGTCCCCTGGCAGCTCGTCGAAATGTTCGTGGGGCTCCCCCGCGGGCGGGTTGGCGTCCCCAGGGTCCGCAGCCCGTCGCCTTTGTCTTTTGGCCTGTCGAACTGTATCAACGTAGTCCGATCCCGTAACCCCGCCGGGGTGGTCGCAAAACTTCTGGGCCTTGGCACGGTCCTCCTGTTGCCGTGCTGGCCGCGCCGCGCACGCGCAAATCCCCTTTGGCGATGGGGCTCCTGCACGAGGAGGCGAAGCAAGTGCAAGAAGCCCGGGTGCGCTTGGCATCGATGTGCCATTTTGCCACGTTGGCCCCCTGGGCGGCCAGTCTGGGCTCTGCGCGCGGCCGCGGCGGCCAGGACTGGAAGACAGACGTCGGGCCCCAAGCAAGTCCAATCCGGGGCGGCGACCGTGACGCTGACGAGGCGGCAGACCCATGGCGTGGCGTAGGCGCCCCACAGGATGGCCACGAAGCCCCCCAACCCACAGAGCCGTTCGAGCGCCGCCCATCCGCAAGGCACTGGAGGCCATAACGGGCACTGGGAAGCCCGAAGTGGCGGCTGTCAGGGGCGCGATTGGCACGCGGCCAGCGGTGACTGCATGTCCCGCGGTGGTGAGCAGCATCGCGGCGACAGCCTCGCGGCGGAGCACCTGGAATATGCCCCAGAGTATGATGGTTGACGTCAGTCGCGTGGCCAGGAATGCCCCCAGCAGTGCCTTGTCAATGAGGCTGGGCACCCAGGAGAAGGGATCGGTGGCGCGGAGCCCTGGCGGCCCCCCATTCTCGCTGCTCCCGAAGGCCGCGCCGCTGGCGAATCTTGCACAAGATCGGAGGTGGTGCCGAAAGTACAGCTCGACTGTGGACGTGCCATGGCCTCTGGGGCCCTGCGGGAGGGGCGACGCCCAGACAGGCAAGGACGGGATGCGCAGAAACGTGGGTATGCTTGGCGTAGTGCTGCTGGTAGCGGTCGTGGTCGACACTCTCGTGGTGCTGCTCTCACTCGTACTGCTCACACACGTGCTTGTCAGAGTAGTGCTGTTTGGCTTGGTGCTGCCGTCGGCGGTCGTGGTCGTACATCTCGCGGTGCTGCTCTCACTCGTACTGCTCACCGACGTGCTTGTCGAGGTAGTGCTGCCTGGAGTGGTGCTGCTGGTTGCGGTCGTGATCGCAATTCTCGCGGTGCTGCTCTCACTCATATTGTTCACCGACGTGCTTGTCAGAGTAGCTGTGCTTGGCGTGGTACTGCTGGTTGCGGTCGGAGTCGTACCTCTCGTGGTGTTGCTCTCACTCGTATTGCTCATCGACGGGCTTGTCAGATTGGTGCTGCTTGGAGCGGTGCTGCTGGTTGCGGTCGTGGTCGTAACTCTCGTGATGCTGCTCTCACTAACACTGCTCAACGACTTGCTTGCCTGAATGGTGTTGCTTGGCGTGGTGCTGCTGGTTGCCGTCGCGGTCGTCGTAAATCGTGGTGCTGCTCTCACTCGTGCTCATCGACGTGCGTGTCAGAGTGGTGCTGCCACTAGCGGTCGTGGTCGTAATTATCGCGATGCTGCTCTCACTCGTGCACCTCAGAAACGTACTTGTCATAGAGGTGCTGCTTGGCGAGGTGCTGCCGGTAGCGGCCGTGGTCGTACCTCTCGTGGTGTGGCTTTCACTCGTAGTACTGCTCACCGACGGGCTTGTCAGAGAGGTGCTGCTTGGCGTGGTGCTGCTGGTTGCGGTCGTGGTCGTAACTGCCGCGGTGCTGCTCTCACTCGTACTGCTCACCGACGTGTTTGCTAGCGTGGTGCTGCTTGGCGTGGTGCTGCTGGTTACGGTCGTGGTCGTACCTCTCGTGGTGCTGCTCTCACTCACACTGCTCAACGACTTGCTTGCCTGAGTGGTGTTGCTTGCCGTGGTGCTGCTGGTTGCCGTCGCGGTCGTAAATCGTGGTGCTGCTCTCACTCGTGCTCATCGACGTGTGTGTCAGAGTTGTGCTGCCACTAGCGCTCGTGATCGAAATTCTCGTGGTGCAGCTCTCACACGTGCGGCTCAACGACGTACTTGTCATAGAGGTGCTGCTTGGCGAGGTGCTGCCGGTAGCGGCCGTGGTCGTACCTCTCGTGGTGTGGCTTTCACTCGTAGTACTGCTCACCGACGGGCTTGTCAGAGAGGTGCTGCTTGGAGCGGTGCTGCTGGTTGCGGTCGTGGTCGTAACTCTCGTGGTGCTGCTCTCACTCACACTGCTCGGTGCTGCTGGTTGCTGTCGTGGTCGTAACGCTCGTGGTGCTGATCTCACGCACACTGCTCAACGACTTGCTTGCCTGAGTGGTGCTGCTTGGAGTTGTACTGCTGGTTGCGGCCGTGGCCGTAACCTTCGCGTTGCTGCTCTCACTCGTACTGCTCACCGACGTGCTTGCCAGTGTCGTGCTGCTTGGCGTGGTGCTTCCACTCGCGGTCGTAGTCGAAACTCTCGTGGTCCTGCTCTCACTCACACTGCTCACAGACGTTCTTGTCAGAGTAGTGCTGACTGGCGTGGTGCTGCTCTTTGCGGTCGTGGTCGTAACTCTCGCGGTGCTCCTCTCACCCGTACTGGTCGCCGACGTGCTTGTCCGAGTAAAGCTGCCTGGCGTGGTGCTGCTGGTTGCGGTCGTGGTCGTACCTCTCGTGGTGCTGTTCTCATTCGTACTGCTCACCGACGTGCGCGTCAGAGTGGTGCTGCTTGGCGTGGTGCTGCCGGTTGCGGTCGTGGTCGCAACTCTCGTGGTCCTGCTCTCACTCATAGTACTGCTCACCGACGGGCTTTTCAGTGTCGTGCTGCTTGGTGTGGTGCTGCTGGTTGCCGTCGTGGTCGAAACTGTCGCGGTGCTGCTCTCACTTGCGTATTGCTCACCGGCGTGCTTGCCAGAGCGGTGCTGCTTGGCGTGCTACTGCTTGTGGCGGTCGTGGTCGTCGTGGTGCTGCTCTCACTCGCACGGCTCAGCGACGTGCTTGCCAGAGGGGCGGTCGTGGTCGTAACTCTTGTGGTGCTGCTCCTCCTCCTCCTCCTCCTCCTCCTCCTCCTCCTCCCCCTCCTCCTCCTATTCATCCTCCTCCTCCTCCTCCTCCTCATCATCATCACCATCATCCACCCGCAAGGCACTGGCGGCAGCAGGGGCGAGTGGGGGCGCTCTCGCCTGCACCTTCAGGGACGTGCCGGACGAGAAGACGAGGACGTCCGAGACGGTGCCAGAACCACTCCAGGCGAGCCTGCCGCGAGTCTTCTTCGCACCCCCGTCGGGCAACCGCCCCTCGCATCCGAGCGAAGTCTGAGAAGCAAAATCACAAGCCTGCTTACGCTCCGTTGGGGAGGGCACGCCAGCAGAGAATGCACAGCAAGGAGGCATGGCCGCTGTCGGCGCCGCGCAACCACGAGCGTGCAACAGAGTAGGCATCAATTGAACATGCAACCTGCATTGCTTGCTTTTCCCCACACCCGTGCCCATGTGGAAGCCTGTCGATCGCTGCTCCTGCGGACATGTCGTCGGTGTACCAGATCTCGTACCGAATAATCTCAGTGCCTGCAACCAGACATTCGAATGAACGGGAGCTCTGCAACCGCAATCCATCATAAAGATTGAGCATGAGGGCGGAAGGCATCTTCTAGAACGCGTCAGGTCAGGGGCACCCATGTACTGAGAGAGGATAACAAATTTCAAGCACCCTCGGTATCTAGGGCTTCACCGTCCCCCTGCTTCAAAGGCTCATCCTTGAATGCAGGCTGTTCGACCATGGCCAGGCAAAAGATAGCGAGTGCAGATGGCAAGATTGGGAGGTGTAAATGGAGGGCAGCACTGGCGGGCATAACCTCAGACGATAGGCTCCTCGGGAAGGGGGGTACAACGGGAAAAATGCAGGGGGGCTGAGGGAGAGAGAATGTGAGGCAGAGAAAGAAGGAGAAAGAGAGAGAGTGAAAGGGAGGGACATGTACGGATATACGTCTGTAACTATAGATATAAAGAGAGCTAAAACGTGGAGGCCCAACGATACGCAGAAAGAGAGACGGAGGGTCAGGAGAAAACAAAAGGTGGCGCGCGACAAAGTCCAGGAGTATGAGAAGACATCGGCATCAAACCGCTACCCACGCTGTAGGATCATGTCTGGTTGGCTTCAACACGCACTCAGCCACCTGACTGATTCTATTCCGTGGTGCAGCAGCTTCGGACCATGAGACTATCGAGCCCTCGCGCTGGTTACCACTCCCTCCGCCTCTTCACCTGTCCTCTTTCATCACTGGGCCTGTTGTATTGTCAGCCAGAAAATGGCAGCACTCGCGAGCAGTCCCTCCCCTGGCTGTCGCGGCTGCCCGATATCGGAAAGAATATGCAACGGCTTAAGAGCAGCGTCCCGAAACGCCCGAACAGAAAAACTCAGTCGAATTGTTATGTGTCCCAGGAGTGGCGCACGCTACAGCCGAGCGCATCCTCGTAAAGCATGGCTCACACCAACCAACCTCAACGCTTCTTGGTGTTTTGTTTGCTCTTGGCCTCGCCGTTAGAGTCAGGCTGGCCTCGCACCTTGCACTTGTTACTCCTCATCCCTCCACGTTCCTCTCTGCTACACTACCCTGGGCAATAGTGACCCTAGGCAAGAGTGACCTTTCGTGCGCAGCTCCAGGAGGCCGCTGGGGGGGAGGGCAAAATCCAAGCGCGCAGGTCATTGCTGGGGGAATGCAATCAGACCGCCTCCGAGGTCATCCCCGCGAATATCCGCAGCCGACCCCTCCGAGGATGAAGAAAGACGGAGGAGGTAGGAGGAACGAAGACACAGGAGGGACGAGAGGCAGAAGAGAGCGCGCACGTCCGGCAAGCGATATACGAAAGAAGCTGAGCTTCGTACAAATAATACGGTGCCAGCGTAAGAAGGAAAGTGGCGACCCCGAAGTAAGCATCACCTACCTTTGGGAACCTTTGCTTAGAGTGTCGCATCGGCGGCCCCTGCGACGCGCTATGCCCTGCGAGCGGATAGAGTGTCGCTCCGATCCGAGGCCAGGAGGCTGGGAAATACTCGGGACGTGGCCCAGACACCCGACGTCGAGATGTTCACAATGTGTTTCCCCAGAGAACTGGACCCGTTCCACGGAACCCGATTTTCTTCCTGAGTCGCCTGAGTCGTTTTTCGACGGTCTCAGGGCCTGGCGGGGGCCCCCAAGGCTGAAATCGCAGTTCTTTTCGCGACTCGAGGGGGTCTGGTTTGCCAGTCGTAACGCCGGTCTCCAACCGCCGATCGGGATAAGCTGGGCATCCCCGAAACACTCTCGGTGAGGCGGTGAGGCGCAACTGCTGGAGAGCCTCCCGACACTGGCAAACCGGCGAGAAACCTTCGAACCTCGGATCTCGATTGTTACCAACCACCCTGCTGTGCTGGGTCCCTTGTATTAGTTTCTTTCGCGACGCGAGGGGGTCTGTGACTGCACAAGATTGGGTAGCCTTTCCTCCTTCTCCCCGGCCGCGGGCCTCCATCGTCGGCTGGCGGCGTCCAGCTGGCCACCGCCTCGAAGCTCGACACCTGCGAGATCTGGAAGTCCACCGGCGCTCCTGCCCACTGGCCACCGGCGGGGCGCGCACAAGGACATACTGGTACGATGTGCCTCTGTTGGGGACGCGCGTCCGAACCGAACCATACGGTGCCCGAATCTTGTAGCACATCGATTCCGGAGCGGTATGGTCAGAAAGCGCCCGCCACAGAGCTCATGCTGTAATTAGGATTCCGAGCGTGCGCGTCGCCCCTGGCGGGGGGGCGGGGCGGCGACGCGCAAATAGTATGGACATGCATGGGCGGCCCACTGGCCACCAGCCACTGGCGGGGCGCTGGGCTCATTTCGACCACTCCGACTTGATTTGGTTCGATTTCCATGGATTCCGATTCCGATTCGATTCGACTTCGGATTCCGACTTGGGCTTCGGTCTCTCTCTGGAGGCCCTACTAGCCAGCCGATTTCCGCCGATTCGCCTTTTCCCGACTTGGCTGCCGACTTCCGCCGATCCGCTTCACTCCGATCGACGATCCGACCTATCGCTGGGGGGAAGGGGAGCAAGCAGCCAGCCTGCGGGGCCTACGGCCTACGATGCTGTCTTTTTGTCGCGGCGTCGGATCCCAGGGCTCGACCGCCCTAGTGGAGGCAGAGTGGGTGGGGTCGGAGGATCGCGCCGCGTCGCCCTGAGGCTGTTAACCTTTTGATGCGGGAAGCAGGGAGAGGCTCGCTTTTTCTTTAGGGTCCTGGGGGTCGCCGTCGCCAGATCTCGGCGATGCGATTTTTGTCCGTCTGGGCACTCGTCCTAGATCTCGGCCTCGGGGGCCCGTTGGTTGGCCCTGGGGGATCAAACATGGATCCAGGACGCAAGACAATTCGCAGGGAGGGGGGCCATACGTCCGGGGCCGCGGACTGAAAACAAAAAAGAGCGGCCTATGTCTGGGGACTCTGGCGAGCTCGCGGAAGGTTCGTGTCGTGACATCCCCGGCGTTGGTTCCTGGCACCGCGTGGATCGTTCATCCTAAAACGACTGGCGGCATCTCGACCGCCAGATCGTTCCATATCTGCCGACTCCGTGCCACTGGCAGCGCTCAACCTTCCCCCTCGCGTCTTTGAACAAAATTGCAACGGGAGGTTTCTTTGCGGCTTTCAGCATCTGGTTGGTGGCCCTCGCCAGGCACAGCGGGGCCGTTAAGAAACGACGCAGGATGGAAATTCGGCCCTGGTACGGCCCACGAAATTGCCAAAGACCGTTCAGGTCGAGCCTTGGCGGCGCGGAACCCCCCAAAGGCACCGACACCGCGGCATTCCAGGCGGCTTCGCCGGCACTTGCTGGCAGCGCTCTAGTTGAGGCGGCGTACAAGTCCAACGAAGAGCATACGCCACCTGACAATGATCGCTTACGGTAGCCTCCCTCGGTGCGAAAATGATGAGTGATGACCGAAAGTTGCCGTGCAATGCTTAGTGACACAAAAGCGACGCTGCGAGCTTCGGCACTCCACCGCGAACTGTGCGCAGACACGGAGGGTGTACGCGTGGCAACGAAGAACTCCACCTATGCCCAAGGCCGTGCGCGGCACTAGCAACACCGAAAACTGACCGAACCGACAGCGAAACCGAAACCAGCCGAAATCGACAGGCCGCAAGCAGTCTACAAGGGCGCAGCGACGCGGCAACGGTACGATGACCGACCGAACCGAAGCGACCTAACGCAACCGACGGCGATGCAACAGGATCGACCGAACCACGAACATCCTTGATGGCCCACCACCTGCTCCTTATCCGCGGCATGACCTAGGCTTGCTCGACAGCCGGGTCCTGTCCTCGGAGGCCTCTGCGAAAGGCCCACGTAAGCCGTCGATGGGACACCTTATTCCTTATTTATCGTCCTAGTCCTCCTCCGCCTCTTCCGCCTCCTCATCCTGTTCCTCCTCCACCTCCTCCTTCTCCTCCTCCTCCTCCTCCTCCTCCTCCCCTCTCCCTCCCTCCTCCTCCTCCTCCACCTCCTCCTTCTCCTCACCCTCCTCCTTCGCCGCGCCTCTTCTATTCCCCTTCATATCCCTCCCTTTCCCCCATTCCAGCTCTCTCCCCGTATTGTTCGACTTTCCTTGGCGCTACCTTGGAAATCTACAGTGCCCCTCCTCCTCCACATCCCTCCCACTCCGCATCCCAATCCTCTTTCTCTACCCCCTCCTCGTCCTCCCCCCTCCTCATCCTCCTCCTCCTCCTCCTCCTCCTTCTCCTCCTCCTCCTCCACCTCCTCCTCCTCTTGCTCCTTCCTCTCCTCCTCCTCTCCCTCCTCCTCCTCCTCCTGCTCCTTCTTCTGCTTCTCCGCCTGCTCCTCCCTTCTAGCCTCATCGCGAGCCCAGGTGATGATGTTGGTGTCAACTGTCAGGCCTCCGAAAAGACTGGACACACTCGGTAGTCGGGTTGTAACGCTGGGTTCCAGCAACTGTTCGGGGTGAATCGGGCACCCGTGGAACGCTCCTGGCGAGGCGCAGCTACTGGAGAGCATCCCGAAGGGCTCCGCCGCCCCCCACCCCCTGGGGGGTCCCTCCTGGAGTGCCCGAGCACAGCATCTGAACAGGCTCGTGCTGGGGCCCCTCGCCAGCGACGTTCACCGAGGTGACCACGAACCGATACGTCGTGCCCGTGGCCAGCCCGACGGAATCGAACTCGGTGTCGGTGCCCGCGTACACCTCCCAGGCTGGAGGCTGGAGCACGATGGCGATGCCGATGATTGTTGGATGCTGAGCGCACGTTGCGCTCGTGGCAGCGGGGATGATGCCAGCGTGCAACTCCGAGACTCGAGGAGGAGGGACCAGCGTAAGCTCAAGATCTGTCAATGATGTTGCAATATACCTTCCCTCTGAGCTCCTTGTTCGCAAGCCCCGTACAATAACCCATTTTCACTGAAGGAAGTGTCCCGTTGGAAACCAGCCGCTTGAAAACCCGGCAGCCTGCCAGAATACCATTCCTGGGATATCAACGCCGCGAATCACCGCGACTGCTGCGTCTTGACGATCCTGAACCGTACTAGGACATTTTTTGTGGGACTTCAGCACCACGAATCATTGTAATTGCTGCGCCCAAACAATCCGACACCGTGCCGAAACACCATTTACGGGACGTTGCCATGAAAACTCTTGAAACTGCTCTAGACTCTGAAAACGAATGTGCGCGGCACTAAGACGAAAACCACATTTGAAAAGGAGCTGCCCTCCATTCGTACATCCCTTTCTTCCCCTGCGGGGAAAAGTTTATCACAATTCCCTATTAAGCAACACTCCCTCCCCCACTTGGCCGGCAGCCAACCCGGAACCATGCGCCCCCCTCCCGTCCTGTCAACAAAACAAGACAAAATGCACAGTGCGGGGCCCACCCTGCAAACACCCTCAACAATCCCGATCAGCAACAACAAAAAACAATACGAAGTGCACGTTGCAGCAAAATCTGGACAGTGCGCTGGAGCCCTCTGAGCAAGTTGTGATTTTTTGACAGGGCACCCTTAAGGAAGCCGCTTTGTGCAAGACAGCCATCCGTGTCAAAAAAGGATGCAAAGTGTACGTTGCGACAACGTCGTGGGCATTGTGCTGGCCACCCGCGATCACTTTGTTTTGTCTTTGGACAGGGACGGCGGTGGTGCCCGCAAGATGACGCTTGCTGCGCGAAAGCCCAGAACAATGCTGACGCCCCCCACATCAGCATCTGGACCATGCAGACGGAAGGCATCACGTTTGTTACAAGAACGGCACACCAACCGCCTATGGAGCCCGCGGCGAGCGTCACGCACCTGGCGTCCTCTTTGGTTCCCAATGGCTGTCCATTCAATGGCAGCCCCTGGCTACGCCGAGGCTCGGGTGCCACTTACATAGTGGGAGGGCGGGTGGGAGCGAACTAAAAGGCTTGCGTGCGGAGAGGGTGTTTTGATCATTGTTCCCTATTCATACCCCCCCCCCCCCCAGACCTGGCAGGCAGCCAACCCGGAACCATTCGGGCACCCCCCCACCATCCCTGTCAACAAAACAATATACAACATGCACAGTGCGTGGCCCACCCTGCCAACACCCTCAACAATCCGTGTCAAATTAGCCTGGCGAAGGACCCAACCATATGCAGCTGCGAGTACCGCACGGATATGAGACGAAGGAGGGGGCACGCAAACTAGGCCCCTCTTCTCATAGGCACCGCGCCACTGCATGGACGAGGCACAGGGCAGCGCGGGCAGGAGGTGGCGGGCGGAGGAGGAGAGCTCACTGGGGCGAGCCAACACATCAGTATCATCATCGCATCATGAGACCTGTTACTGGGCACGCAGGAAGAGGTGACGGAGACACCGTGTAGATGTCGAAGGCAGGTCAGCAACGGCAGAAAGGAGACGGGGAAGCGCGCGGTCAAGAAGCGATGGGAACCAGGAGGAGCGAGAGACGAGGGGAGACGTTTTTGTCTCCAGACCGACAGCGAGCCACGCAGAATGCAGCGCGCAGGCGGCGCCGCGCGAAAGTGCCTGGGAAGTCCTCGCCGACGCGGTCTGGTCATCCCGAGGGAATCCCATCGACGCGCGGGGGTTGTCCACTGCGACTCTGAGTCGACGGATAGCACCCCCGTGCTGCGTGGCGACGCGTGCGAAAATGGCGCGACCTGGGTGAAATCCCCCGACAGGCGCCGGTCATCCTCTGGCGAGAAATCCCGGCGACGAGCTGGGGTCATCCAAGCGTCAGCGACAACCAGCGCGCGCCGCTGGCTCGTGCGGGGCCGCTCCCCAGGTCAGGCCTCGCGGATGAACTCGCTGAAGCCCAGCTCTCTGGCGAGGGCCGTCGCCTCCCTCCTGCACCGCTTCGTGCGCGCTGCAAACTGCTCCAGCTGCTTCCGCAAGCCCTCCGGCGGCCCTGCCAGGAAGAACTCGATGAGCGGCGCCCGCATGAGCAGGAGATCCTCGTGGCGCGTGGCGCGCGAGAGCAGCACGTAGAGCTCCAGCCACCAGTCGTCGTCCTCCTTCTTGCCGTTCCCGACCTCGTGGCGGCCGCAGTCCAGGATCACGCCTGGGCCGCAGCCATTGGGCCTTCGGTGGAGCTCCCCATGGGGCCACGAAACGTGTAAGGGGTGTGCCAAATATGGGGTGGCGGCGGCATGCGGACGCAGCCATTTGGGCCTTAGATGGAGCTCCCTATGGGGCCACGAAACGTGTGAGGGGTGTGCCAAAATTGGGCGGCGGCGGCATGCGGACGCAGCCATTTGGGCCTTCGGTGGAGCTCCCCATGGGGCCACGAAGCGTGTGAGGGGTGTGCCAAAATTGGGCGGGCGGCGGCATGCGGACGCAGCCATTTGGGCCTTAGATGGAGCTCCCTATGGGGCCACGAAACGTGTGAGGGGTGTGCCAAAATTGGGTGGCGGCGGCATGCGGACGCAGCCATTTGGGCCTTCGGTGGAGCTCCCTATGGGGCCACGAAACGTGTGAGGGGTGTGCCAAAATTGGGTGGCGGCGGCATGCGGACGCAGCCATTTGGGCCTTCGGTGGAGCTCCCTATGGGGCCACGAAACGTGTGAGGGGTGTGCCAAAATTGGGCGGCGGCGGCATGCGGACGCAGCCATTTGGGCCTTCGGTGGAGCTCCCTATGGGGCCACGAAACGTGTGAGGGGTGTGCCAAAATTGGGCGGCGGCGGCATGCGGACGCAGCCATTTGGGCCTTCGGTGGAGCTCCCTATGGGGCCACGAAACGTGTGAGGGGTGTGCCGATGATGATGATGATGATGCTGATGATGATGATGATGATGATGATGATGATGATGATGATGATGATGACGGTGATGATGATGACCGACAACCACGATGTGGATGATGATGATGATGATGACGATACTCATGATGATGAGCATGATGAGGATGGTGATGATGATGGGAGGAGGGGGGAGGGGGCAGCGGGAGGAGGAACGCGGGGCACCGTCTCTTCAAAACGAGGACCCAACACCACAGGATGGTTGGGAACAAAACAATACGACATGCACACTGCAACTACATCTGGATGCAGGACCACCATCCGTGTCATAAAGAATGCAAAGTGTACGTTGCGACAACGTCGTGGGTATTGTGTGTGCTGGCCACCCACGATCACTTTGTCTTGTTTTTGGACAAGGACGGCGGTGGTGCTCGTATGATGATGCTTGCTGTGCGCAGGCCCAGAACAATGCTGACGCCACCCACATCAGCATCTGGACCATGCGGACGGGGGGGGGGCATCACGTTTTCCTATTTTCACCAGGATGGCACACACATCGCATGTGGAACGCGTGGCGAGCGTCGCGCACCTGGCGACCGCTTTGGTTCCCAGTGGCTGTCCATCCAGTGTCGACCCCTTGGCCATTCCGAGACCCGGATGCCACGTACGTGGTCGGAAATGAGCTAGACGGCTTGCGTGCGGAGAGGGTGTCTTGATCACTGCTCCCGATCAATAAGCACCCCCTCCCCCACCAACAATATTTCTAGTTCGCGCGCGCGGAGCGGCCCCCGGGGGCCCCCGGACGAAAAGTACCCCGGCAAGGTCCCGAGAGAAGCCCGGGAGAAGCCACCAGACCACTCCAGGGGAGGGTATTTTTCGACACCCCTCACGAGGATCGTGGCCTCCGAGGGGGGAGCCGCAATCGACTACCCCCAAGAGCCCCCCAAGAGGCCCTGGGGGCCTCCAAAACGCCGCCAAGGAGCCCCAAGAGACTCCCAAGAGGTCCCCAAGAGGCCCCCAAGAGGCCCTAAAGAGGGCTCCAGGGCCGGCGGCATGAGCGAAGCGATTAAATAAGCACCCCTCCCCCACCCGGCCGGCAGCCAACCCGGAACCATACGCACACCATGAGGGCCCCCCCACCATGTGTTTCAAAAAACAATACAAAACACACGCTGCTTCCAAATTCGGAGCATGCGCAACCAACCCGATGTGCCCCCCCCACCATCCCTGTCAAAAAAACAATACACAACACACTTTGGTGCAAAGTTTGGAGTCATGTTCGTGAAGCCCGCGGGCACCTATATAGTGTTTTGATAGGGGCGGCGGGGATGTCACCATATTGCCTGCTGCGCGCAGGGCTACCATCCCTTACAAATAAACAAGACAGAATGCACCTCGCGGCTTAATGTGGATAGTGCGCGGCCACCCCGCGATCATTGTCAAGTGGTTTTTGTCAGGGACGGCGGGGGTGGTGGCGAATGGCCTGCTGTGCGCAGGCCCACCAGACACCATGATGGGCATTGGTTTTCGACAGAGATACTGCGGGCCGAGATGGTTCCCGATGTGTGCTGTCACGTGTGCAGGCGCACCGGACACATCCTGCACGTGCCCCGGACGTGGCGCACCTGGCGCGGCTGGAGGGAGCATCTGGCGCGCTAGGCGTGCCTGGCACGCTCGGGCCCCAGGGGTGCCCGGCGCGCGTGGCGCGCCTGGCACGCGTGGCGCACCTCGGCCCAAACGTCGCGCACATGGGGTCGGTTTTGGTTCCGCGGAACATGCTGAGGCTCGGGTGTTACTTATGTGTCGGGAGGCCGGGTGGGAGTGAGCTAGACGGCTTGCTATGTAGAAGGTGTCTTGATCTTCCCCTGGACCTGGACGGGCGGTGCCCCGACCCATTGGAACGTCCAAAACGGCCTCGCGAAGAAGCCCAAATCATTGGTTGTACTAAGGTTTTGGCTCCATTTGGGTCTTTTGGGGAGGGG